TTGATGCACAAAAGTATGAGAAAACGGTCTTAAAAAAACACAGATAAGAAAATCGGTATTTAAAAACCGAATTTTGTAGTACAAGTCGGCATGACAATACCGATAATACAAAAACAAATCGGTGTTGTCATGCCGATTTTTACTACACAAATCGGTTTTTAAGTACCGATTTTTGTTAAAATAATCGGAATGTGGTTACCGACTTTAGTAACAAAAATCGGTATTTGCAGACCGATTTTTGGTATCGTCGAATTTTTTTCCCAACAAAAAAAAACGACCCAAAAGCAAAAATAAACGGTTAAAACATATTTCATTGTGTTCTCCACCCTCGTAAACCACCATATCATTGTTTTCTGGTTCCATCGTGAATGTTTGGTATGTATTTAATAATTTTGGTGTGTAGGATTTCTTGGTGGGTTTGTGAAGAAGAAGGAGAAGAAGAATGAGAGTTTTATGTCGTGAAATAAGGAAGAGGGGTTTCTGGATTTATGTATTTTATTTGGTCTTGCACAAAGGAAATAATTTTTTTTTTTTTAATGTTTTATGTTTTTTATTTGATTTTAAATTTCACTAAGGGTAAATTAGTATTTTTATGTTGGAGGTCTTGAACTAATAAAAAAATGGGCTTGCATATAACCGCCGCCCTCAACTTTTTATATAAATTTCACCGACGACTGAACTTTTTATATAAATTTCACCGGGGACCGGCGACCACCACATCTGCCGCGGCACCACCACATTCGCCGCTATACTACCACTTGAAAGTTGCCAATGCTCGGAAATATTCACCATTTGGGAACACGTATTTCAGATATTGAATAAGAGAAATTGAGAATCGTCATAATCAAACAACTTTAGCAACAACAAATTAGAAAAAATGAAAAAGAAGGGGTTTTATAATTTATGTTTTCTTTTTTCTCCGTTGCGATTCAAGCAAGGAGTCGGTGGTCCGTCGGTTTCTCCGGCTGGTTTTTGCTGGAAAATCAGGGCTGATAAGATGGCTTTTCGAGAAACACGAAGGACTGAATTGAAAATTTCAAAACTTTCACATTGGTGCGGAAACTTTTAGGGTGAATTTGTAATTTTCAAAATTTGTAACTTTAAGGGTATTTAGGTCTTTTTAGTTAAAAAAAATGCACCCCAACTCCCATATATGGCGAGTGTGGCTCACGATAAGCTGTTAGGGACCTATTTGGCTTTGACTAATTTTCACAGGGAGGTTCTTGCTAATTTTTTTTAACACGAGTGTTTTCGGCAATTAGAGATTTCACAGGGTTGGTTTTTGGAAAAAACCCGTTTAATTTATATCAGGAGACTTAATTAAATTACTCTGAAATGCAGGTTTAAGAAATTCCTGAAATTTTCTGGGGCCGAAGAAATTTATAACCAAGTTTAATTCTTTAAAAATAAAGATAAAAGATGAAAAATCTTAAATCCATTGTAAGAAAATGGATTTTTCCTTGAACTGTATATGTTATGGGTATCCAACTGAGAACTTTTCCTTCATATTTCTAAAGTGCTGATTTTAATTTCGCTATAATGGTGATATGAGTCGATTGATGATATCAATTGATTTCTTATATTATAGTGCTGAGTTTTATCATCTGAAATTTGTACTTTGGTGAGGCATTTATTGGCTACAGTGAAGAAATAATAAGATTTATGCATGTAGTCATATATAATTAAGTGTTTGATCGAGTTCTTTGTTTGTGTGTGTGGGTGGATTTTTTAGTTTATTACATCATATTCTAATTTGTAAATGTTTCTTGCCATTTGAATGACATGTCTGTCGTAATTAAATAAAATTTTGCATGCTTGGTGAATCTTTTAGGTCCAATTTTATAGTTTACCCTTTGAAATTTATGGTTTATAATTTTTACTATATAGTAACATATAGTAACATGTAATTAATCATGTATGAGTTATGTGGGGAGTATATGCTGGTGATGTGTCTGTATATCAGTAGGTGATAGTGTGTGTGTCCGTGTATTCAAATTTGAAGCAAAATTCGTTGTTTATGTAATACTTTTTCTTTTTCGCGGTCTTGGTGAATTTTTATCTCTTACAAAATGTCCATGTTTCTGATAATGTAGTGGATGTTTTTTTCTATGTAAGGCTTTCAAATTGCTCTCTTATCTTGTTCATTTTTTTATAAATCATATGTCATTTGTTTTTTGTATTTATTTGAAGATGATCTGAAATGCCTCAAGTGTGAGAGGTATGTTTGTCTGTAATAGAAACTTAATCAGTAGTGGTTACTTAGATGGGTAAATTGGGTCAGGTGAATATACAATCATATGTAGTCATGTATAGTCATGGCTACAAATAACTACACATGACTATAGAACTTGTAGTATACTATAGTCATTTGTAGTCGATTTGAGTAATGTAAATTTATCACAAAAAAAAAAATCATGTTTTTTTGTATTTTTCATGTAATCTAACTCGCATGTTCCATTTTGCTGTTCAACTCGTATTTTTTTTATCTCAAGTTTTGCTTTTATTATAATTTTATGAGATGCAGAGAATAAGATGCGGTGAAGTGCCTTCTGAAGTTGGATTCATGCTACAGTAATATAGACATTATGTCACTATATATAACTATAGATAATTGCACATAAGCGCGCAGTAGTATTTTTGCCTCTGCAGGGGTATCTCAAAAGAAGAACTTTAGGGGTAGACATATCCCTATATATTTTCCAAATGAAGGGTGTATATCAAATGGACCCATATATTAAATATTAGTTACAAATGAGGATTTTTAGGTTTCGGTTATATAATTGGATATTAATAATATAATTAAATATTGGTTTGTTTGTTGAAATGAACCTTCAAATTATAGGTGTTTTTGTGCATAAATCCTTAACCAAACATCTTTATTATTCTAGGTTTATGAGCTTTATCTCTTTCACCAATAAGCCCATCCCTTTAATATTTATTATAATAAAGAAAACATTCATGTATATGACAATATTACCCCAACCCTTTATACCTAATTCTTAATTGTAACCTCAATTTAATCAATTTTGTCCACAAAAATCTAATTTTGACCACAAAAATCCAATTTTGACTTCTTCTTTTTCAAAAAAAATTTTGCCGCCGGTTTCCGGCGTTGACTTTTCGAATATTTATTTATTTATTATTTTTTTTTCTTCCGGATTTTTTCGTCGGTCTCCGGTGTTGAACTTTTTTTTTTTTTTTTCCTGATCTGTTTTCTTTCCGCCGTCGGATTCCAACGTTGACTTTTTTTAGGGTTTTTTTTTTTTTTTTTTTTTTTTTTTTTTCTTTTTACGTCCGCCGCTAAACGTTGACCGTAATTGTGCTGTCACTGACAGTAAATTAACGTAATTATACTGTCAATGACAGTTAATTAACGTAATTATACTGTCAATGATAGTAAAATATCTGTAAACACAATAATATTACTGTCAACAACATCAATATTATTATTTTTTTGGGTTTTTTGTTTTGTTTGAGTTATTTACGGAGTAACGTAATAATATTACTGTCTATTATTGTAATATTACTGTGGTTGACGGTAATATTACTGTTGTTATAGTAATATTGTTGTCAACCACATCAATATTATTATTTTGTTTGGATTTTTTTGTTTGTTTGAGTTATTCACGGAGTAACGTAATAATAGTACTGTCTGTTATTGTAATATTACTGTAGTTGACGGTAATAACTGTTGTTATAGTCATATTACTGTCACTCACAGTAATATTAATTCTTTTGGCTTTTTATTATGTTTACATTTGTTGAACGATCAACATAGTAATATTATTCTATTACACAATAATAATGAGTTTTGTTGTGTTAATATCACTGTGGTAGAGATTAATATAGCAATATTACTGTGTTAAACTGTAGTTTAGTTAATTTTACTGTGTTTAACAGTAATATAGCTAATATTACTGTCAATCACATCAATATTGCTGTTTAAATGAAAAAAAAAATGTTACGGAAAGAGAAAAAAAAAAACGAAAAAGTCAACGCCGGAAACTGGCGAAAAAATTCGGAAGAAAAAAAAAAGTCAACGCCGGAAACCGGCGAAAAAATCCGGAAGAAAAGAAAAAAAATATAAAAAAAATTGAAAAGTCAACGCCGGAGGCCGTCGGAAAAAAAAAATTGAAAAAAAATTAGTTTTGGGTCAAAATTGAATAATTTGTGAAATTTGGGGTCAAATTGAGGTTAAATTAAATTGAGGATGAAATTGGAGCATTTTAAAGTACTAGGGGCTATTTTAGTCTTTTACAAAAATCTGGACCATGTGTGGACTTATTTGTAAATGAGTTTTTTGTCTGGATCTCTTTATGAATAAGTACCCATTGATGGGCTTATTTGTAATGACCCCTAAATTATAAGTAGATTGCATATTTATTTATCAAAAAAAAAAAAAAAAAATAGATGCATATTTTAACCCGTCCCGGTACCTGTGGGGATTTTATGGGGGCGTATATGGGGATTTTTTTGTAAAGTTTGGGGATTTCTTTTGCCATCCCTACTTTAAATCATAGTAGTTAAACTTGCGAGATACCGCAATATATATCGCGAGACGATACGGTCCCAATCAAAACGATACTATTCATACTCAGTATCGTTTGTGCATAAATATGGGTAAATATTGTGAGATATCATATCTTATCGCTATATCATGATACGATACGATATTAGTCAAACTATTAGAAAAAAAGGTGAGGATTTTCGGGGCGGGTACCTAAGGGTACTTGTGGGGATTTTATGGGAAAGGGGAATCGGGATTGCAAAACCGGCCTCATTTCCATCCCTAAATTATCACCTTATCTTATAGTTTGTTTGTTTGAGGACTAAAATTGTGGCAAAAGATAGGGACCAAAATTATTTTTGCTGTCTAGTATAGGACCAAAACTGTAATTATTATGAAGAAAGTATGACAATGACTTTGCAGTCAACTCGCTTACATGGCTTATTTCTATTGGCTCAATACCGTGGAGATCATATCACGGTAATCACACTACAATAATACATCTCTGATCACCATCTTCATTTGGGGGGAAAAAAATTAAAATTAGGGTTTTAAAGAATTTCGACTTCACAAAGGAAGTAGCCAGAAGAACATGAGACTCGTATGGTGGTGGGCGGCCATACTCACGGCCGTTCTCTTCTGCAAAGTCGTATTCTCCGATCAGATTATTCCAGCTCATACAGGTAATTTATTAAATCGAAATTACAGCTCGGTAATGGCATTTTTTTTTATTGCTCTAGAATTTCCAAGTGCTGAATTTCCATTCTCCTGGTTGTAAGAAACCTTAATTTTTTTCACCGTTCGGTGCTAGTTTTTTTGTCGTCTCCAGATAATTTAAAATCTCGAAATCGCTAAAAGTACAGACGAAGTGATGGGATTAAGGGAAAATAATGTGTTTTCCAATTGGATGTTGTTTATTAGCTGGAATTTGGATTAAATGTTTTTTTACTCTATTTTATTTTTTTGTGGAGTGAATTTCGGTTTTTACGGGGATGATCTGGTGCAGAACTGGTAGAGCTAAGGAATCCACGTATTAAAACTCGAGAGACCTCTTTATTTGTGTTGTAGAATTCGTAAATGGCTTTTTGATGAAATGTTTTTGGTAGGAGACACAACTAATGATCAAACCGAAGCCGAACCCGAAACCCGAAAACCATGGGACTAAATACTGAATCTGGATGTTTATTTGTTCGACTAACTGAGTGCTTGAGTTGATATTGTGAGTTTGATTCTGAATTGGTGTCTTACTGAAGTAATTTGCGAATACAAATGTGGCAAATGAAGTTTCTTTCAATGTTTATATTTTGAGTCCTAGTCTACATAAGTGATGTGGTTTTCTTGAATTTAAGTATGTGTGGTGCTACTCAAGCTCTCTCTTAGCTCTTGTTCTCGTTTTCCTTTTCATTCTCTTTATGTTTTCTCCACTCTATACAACAATTTTTAATGCTTACCATTTCCCACGAAATTTCTAAAAACTAGTTTAATCAATCAGGAGACACCAATGGGAAAAAGTGGGGGTGGTTAGTAATGTTAAGAGGTGTCCTTTATTTATTTTTTTCCCGCCTGTTTACGATTGACAGCTCCTTGTTCTTTCACATATTTTGGTTTCAGGTGGTACCTTTGGTCGAAGCTCTAGGGAACCAAAATTCAAAATTGAATTCCATTCAGAAGATTCACCTTTTCATCCAGTAAGTGACATTGTCATTATTTGACAATTTTAATTAGCTCATGTATGAATAGTCCGTGTTATTGTCGAACAATTTCAACATGATTTTATCGCAATCATACCTTGCCTAGCAAGCCAAGTAGGATGCTTGGAAATTTATTCACACTCTTTTTCTTTGAGTGGCTTTTGATACTCAATTCTGGTTACGAGATCCATTATATTTGTAGATATCGCATAGATGTGACTGTGCTTCAAATTTGGTCTTAACAAAATGTGTGCAAAGTTGATTCATATTTCAAACTTTACATATTATAAGGCTTACATCACATCATAGAAGTTTTTTCTTTATGAGTTTTAAATATTTTCAAGCTTCATTGGAGTAGGTGAAATTACAATTACACCCACCAATGCAGATCAAAGTCCTAATCTTCCTACGAACTATTAGGAGTGCACTAAATCTTACTGATATCTCATGCTCATACTTCCCATGCAAATTGGAGTCCTAATATTCCTTTTAAATATTAAGAATCATTAATCGTTACTGATAGCTCATGTATCTCATACTATTACGGAGTACTCCTGACATTCTTTGTTCGATGATACTATCTTGTCTAGAATTTAGATGTAACATCTTCTTTGATTCCTCCAAACTGTCAGAGTAAAGTCGTATGCCTATTAAATGATAGATTTATTCCTCTTGAAGGACAGTCAATTAATTTCTTGGAAAACTGAATTTTAGAAAAATATAAACAACTCTATATTCCGAGTTTATCGGTGGATCCATGATATCTTTATGAACTAATTTTAGCAATCTAGATGTACCCTGCTGATCCGTGATATTTTGAGGAAATAGCGTTAGCTTTCTAGATGGCCTCTTGACATATTATCAAAATTCAAACAACAATTAATTTCAGCTTTATGTGTTTTGCCCAACTGCATGCTCTAATAAATAGTGAAAAACTAGTGTCTTAGTATATTTCAAAACGGAATTATGAACGTTGCCTGTTGTCAAAGATTTGAAATTTGTCTGTTGTTAATGTTTACCAAATGCTTTATAATGGACTTTACATACTTGTCCTTCTGGAATTAATATGTGCTACTATCCTTTTATGCTATTGCATCTGAAATGCAGACTATTTTGTGTGAACTTGTCATGTGGGCTGATGATAACGTCAGCTTATTTTCATGTAAAGCAATATTGCATTAATCCTTCAATCCTTCTGGTTTCTATTTCACTAGGCTAAACTGTTCATCATCTTAAATTTATTTTCTAGTGATAGGAATAAGCAAATTATGTATACCGTAGTCGGTCAGAAAGCATGTTAAAGAAAAACGAAGTAAAGGCTGAATAGCATCTGGGAATAAGTAGATAATTGGTAGTTTAATTATTAATGTATCCACGCGTGATTTCACGTGGCTAATTTCTACTTTTCCAGGATGACGACCAAGAGTCTATTACTATGCCCAACAAAAATGGAGAAAAGTTCCTCTGTTATTTGCCTAAAGTGGAAAAATCCAAGAGCGGAAAGCTCGTCGCTCAACAGAATACAAGCAGCATGATTGTTGAGTCTGAGACACGTATGAAACTGAAGACGCCTGATGAGCTACTAGAAGTGCTGAACGATTTGTGCTTTATAAGGGTAAACTTTTACCACCAAAAATTAAAAAAAAAAATGATGTTGAAAGCTACAAAGGGATGATATAAAGTTTCTTTGTTATTTACAAGTTGCTAACAATTATTTGTTGTTCTTGAAATTTAATTAGTTTCGATTATTCTTTTTATCCCGTGCGACCTCTTTTAGTATATTTGACGGGTTTATATTTTTTGATATACTTAGCAAGAGGGATGGTGGTCTTATGAGTTCTGTTATCAAAATCGATTGCGCCAAATTCATTCGGAGGGTGAGAAGGTAGCTTTTCTTTTTTTCGTCTCTAAATTATGCTCACAGCTTTCGTTGACATTCTTTAGGTAGTGAATCCCGTTTGTAGCTTATGTTAAATTATTAAGTTTTGGGATTAACTGACTGACTATTCCTATAATATTGCGAGTCTTGAATATCACATATTCCTATCATTCTTAATAAGGCTCTGTATCAGTGTTAATGAAGTCCAACCTTTAATACTTTATAGGTGGTTCAAGAATTTATCTTGGGAGTTTATGATGCGGAAGCTACAGAGGCTTACAATCAAAAACATTCCGATGTATCCACATTGAAGGATCCTCGCTCAAAAGACGCATCTCAAAGGTACGAGTTTCAGTATTAAAGACAGAACTTTATATTCTGAAGCTATCATCATATGAACTTTACTGTTACACTATATAGGTATCATGCTCATATCTTTACGAATGGGACCCTCTGTGATTTAACTAACGAGCCCCGAGAAACTGAGGTCAGTGATTGAATTTGAATTTGACAAACTCCTATCCATTACCGTGGATGACTATATCCGTCTTAGGTTGTTATTTCAGGTCAGATTTGTCTGTTCTGAACCCAGAGCTATGATAAGTTCAATCACAGAGTTGTCAACATGCAAGTATGCACTCACGTTTCAGTGCCCAACTCTTTGTAAACATCCGTAAGACCCACTTTCTCTTTCTCCTCGTCTCTCTCTATATTTATGTGTGTGTTTGTTTTATACGGCAATGGTCTCAAAATTTCATTCGAGTTATGGAGAATCTGAGGCTACCTTATGGGAGCTAATGTTCCTGATCCCGTCAGAGAGAAACTTTACATAATTTTTTCTCCCCCTCGATTGATTCAACTAGTCAGATAATTTTTCTGCATACGGGATGCTTTATGGATTGTACCGACAATAACTTACTGTTGACCCTTTGAATCACCAAGCTTGCTGAGTAGAATCATATATTCAGAATCTTTACATGTTGTCTTCATTAGTAATTGGGTAAATTACGGCCACCCCCCGAGGTAAGGTTTAATTATGAAAAAACCCCTCATGTTTAGGTAATTACAACCACCCCTCAACTATGAATCTTATTATACGTGCATTCGTGCGGTGTCAAATTTAGTGGAATCTTCTAGATTATGTAGAATATTCTCCAGTTTGTTAAATTTAGTGGATCTTCTAGACTATTTAGATTAAGTGTGTTTTTTTATTCTTTGTGTGTAGATTATTCAATGAAGAAAGACCAGTGTCGCATACTATTCACTGCAATGCTCTTCCTAAAGAGGAACCGAAGGTGAAAACAGAGGCCGATGATTTCCAAGCTGAAAAGATAGCTATGATCACCGATATCGAGTATCCACCTACTTTCAGTTCAGAAGAACATGCGACATGAATTGTATGTCATTTCTTTGAGACAAGTCGTCGGCGGATTTCTGTACGAATATAAGCCATTCAAGTGTTTTCATAGATAGAAGGATTTCTCTATAGAGATCGAACTAATCAATTGATACAAATAGTTCTCGGGAAAAAAATGAGTTGTTTATATTATGTTGTAGAGAAATAACTTCATTTCAAACAAGTTATCCGAGAAGTGGGTTCTCGTCATTTTTATACTTGATGAAACGGAATATCACGAGTAATTTAGTATTAACTTCACCAAGTGAACTGAGCCTGCTGAAAATTTTCCATTTTGTTGTATTTTTTTTAACCAAAATTACTCGTTGCAAACGAAGAAAAGAGTCTCACCTGCATTTTTTGTGTTTTTTGGTCCGTTGGATTCCGAGATCCGCCTGAAGTGTCAAAGATATATGGAAATACTAGTGGTGGTGATGTATCTCCATTTGTTTTTAACAAATGAACTTTTATGTGCACCGGTACAAATAGAGATTTGTACTACATAAATTTTCACTCTCGTATAATAGTTGAAATCACTATCATATAATAGTTGAAGTCGATTTTGGATTGCTTGATGTGGTGCTCTTCTACTACGAATTCGGATTACTTGATGTGCTCTTCTACTATACCAGTAGAGCCGGTCCTGAAATCAAGCCGCACGTGCGACCATTTAGGGGTCCCAACATAAAAAGGACTCAAAAGAAGAAATATTGTAGTGCATATTTATCGGGTAAATTTCACTTTCCCTCCCTTGTACTTTGGCGCGGTATCACTTTACCTATTCTACTTTTGATTGCATGGATTCGCCTGATCTAAGCTCTGAAATTACAAAAACGCCACCACTCTCAGTTTAAATAATTATTAAAAAAAACAACAAAACAAAATAAAATAAGAAAAAATTCAAGACAACGAGAAAACATAGTTCACGACGCCAGCCACAATTTTTTTTTTTTTTTTTTTTAATAATTATTTAAACTAGGAGGGGTGGATTTTTATTTATTTATTTATTTATTTATTTTCAGACTTAGATCAAACGGTGCTAAGGTCAAATATATGAAAACTAACGGCGAAGGTCACATTGAGATAATTTTTCAAGTAAGGCGGGCAAAAATCGATGGAATTGATAGTAAAATGAGGTAAAATGATATCGAGCCAATGCATAAGAGGAGAAAGTGGAAGTTCCCTTACTTATTTGTAAAGTGTTAATAATTTAAAGTATCTTTTAAAATTTTACAGAAATGCAATCAAAATTTAATTCTAGTTTTAAATACGAAAAGTTAACTTTCTGTTTTTTTCTTCACATCTCTCATGTTTTCTCCTAATACACATAAAAGAAGTTTGGCGTTCATTGTAAATTTAAATCGATTCCTAAGGCAAATGGCAAATAGACCATCACAATAAACTTAAATGCACATAAATTCAAACAAAAACAGTCTTACAAATAAACTCATTCCCATATCTTTTGTCTAAAATATCCTTATCATAGTATAATTTTCATCAATTTCATTCATTATACTCTAACTTCATCAATATTGCACATTGACCCCGAATTTGAACAAATGTATCACATTAACCCCCATTTTCATATTTTTTTAGAAAAAAAAAAATTTCCTGAATTTTTTTTCCGGCTAGATTCCGGCGTTGACCATTTTTTGAAACCATTTATTCTCGCTAAATTATTATGTTAACAACAAAATTATTGTCTATAATAGTAATATTTAATGCCAAAACAGTAATATTACTAATATTACTGTTCCAAACAGTAATAACAGTAATATTACTGTCCCGAACACTTATATTATGAATATTACTTTCCTGAACAATAATAATACTAATATTACTGTCCCAATAGTAATATTATTGCATCATACAGTAATATGACGATCGAAGACAGCAAAATTGCAGGCCACGACGATAAAATTAATTAGTACAATAAAATTACTGTCTCTGACAGTAATAATACTGTTGGAGACAGTAACATAGCAAGCCAAGACAATAATATTAACTCAAATAATTTATTTTTTTAGAAAAAACAAGTTAAAAAAAATCAATGTTGGAGACCAGCAGTAGATCTGTCGGAAAAAAAAATAAAAAAAAAGTCAACGGCGACTGACCAGCGGGTCTCCAGCGGTGACGGTAAAAATTGGGGCCAAAATTAGAATAAGTGTCAAAATTGATTAATTGGTGAAATTGGGGTAAATTGGGATGTAAATTATGAAATTAGAGTTGAATTAGGTTTTCAAAGAGTTGGGAGTAATTTTAGTATATATAAAAGAGTTTTCTTTATCTGCAAATAAGTTTAAATGAGCTGTATTTATTTGGAAGACATAAAAGTTGCACGCGCCGTTAATCAAGTGCTGTCATTTGCGTATTTGCATGTTGCCCAAAGTTTAATACCTAATTTTATTCCGAAACTTCTGAAAGAATAATATTTAAATATTATTTTTTTAATGATTTATTCATATTTTATTATATTTCACTAATATAATCATTTATACGTCAGAAATATTTCTCCTATCACATGTCGACATTTCTCACAAAGTCAACATAATTATGCATCAGCATTTGACATATTTTAAAATGTCGTTATTATAAGGCATTTGTAAAGAGAATATATAATAACAATGAATATCATTAAATTATATAAAGTGAGAATAAATTGTTGATTATACTAGAATTAAATCACCTAAAATAGTTGGACTAGGGTGAGCTGCGAGAACAAAGTGGATCACTGCTCACGTGCTTAATGATCTTGAGACTCTTTATGATCTTGAGATTCCTACGAACAGAATACACGTAAACTAAGCCGAGGTTAATCCGACGGAAACCCCTCCGACGCTCAAGTCAGACATGCAGATTGTGGAGATAGTAGAGAGAATATAGGCAGTCGAATTGCTCGAACTATAGAACGTCCTTTAATCAATGAATTAAATCTTTATTTATACTTGCTGAATGTGCTGAAATTAATTTCTTGGGCCCAAACCTTATTTGAAGGCGATCGGACTCTCGTGATAGTGGTCTTCTAAATTAGGCTCATGGCCCATTAAATGAATTGTAGGCCTATTGAGCTCGTTAGATCGGCCCAATTAGACATATCATTAAGCCCCCACTCTCAAGTCGATATGGAAGCCAAGCAGTGGCGAGGCCATAAAATTTTGCGAGGGGAGCTTAAACACAACAGGGTTCAGGGGCAGAGCCCCCGAAAAAAATTGCTATCAAATAAATTCAAGATGAAATTTTGATATGAATTTTATTTTTCCTCAGATAATACCACAGCGAATATAAATTGCTATAAAAATCTAAGAAACATGAATATCAAGTTGATTATGAAATTTACACGATGGACTTCTAATTAATATTCATTATGAAAATTAAGATGAGAAATGATCGCCGGTGTGTGGCAATTTAACCGTCATTAGTGCGACTATGCGAGAGAACAAGGTTTTTTTCTTTTTCCAAAGAACGAGAACGAAGTTGGGAAATAGAAGATGAGAACAAGTTAGACGTGAAAGAGGCTTTGAGAGGTGAGGCGATTTTTCATAAGTAGGCTTCAAGTAAGTGGATTAAATAATATAATTGGTAGGCTAAAATAAAATATTTAAATAAGTATTATATATATATATATGGGAAAGTTTTGAAAGTGAGGGGGGTTTGAGCCGACCCTGGCCCTTGGGAGGACTCTCCTGAAGCCAAGTCAAACGGGGTGTCGGATTGTGTCGAGAGTAGATCAAAGTTCTAGTTTGGTATTAGTTGCTGTCGTGGAATAATAATAAAATATTATTATTATTGTCGTTTGGCAGGAGGATATATATTTATGGTTCTTAAATATAAAATCATTGGCAAAGATTGAGTCCTTTCGAGTTGAATATGAGTAATTCACAACTCTCGCGTGGAATAAGTATGCACAAATAACTTATAATTTGTTTTATTTACTTTCCCTGGTAAATTAGTAGTATAGTAGAATTTTTCCTATAACAATAGCGATCGTCAGATATAGTTAATGTATCATGAGCGAGTGGGGAAAAACCAATCATCTGTGTATCAAATAACGAGAGGTGGAGGAGATGCCTGGCGAAATTATCGCTCAGGTCGAGCGAAAGGGGAAGAATGGTTGGGCATGGAATCGGCTCGGCCCGCGCCGTCGACGAGGTTGGCAGTGCGCGGGGTGAAGCGGCGCGACCGGTAGCTAGGGCTTGATGTGTTGGCACGCCAACCGAGAAGTGGAAACCCGCCCGGTGCACGAGTGGCGCGCCGGCGGAGGAGATGGTGCATGCGGGTGGTGCGCATATCGAGGTAGGCGCGCACGCATTTGGCGCACTGACTGGGGTGAGTGCGGACGCTTGTGGCGCGCAAATCGAGGGACGGGCGCGCACGTCTAACGCGCTGACTGGGGTTAGTGCGCGCGCGTCTGGTGCACTGACTGGGGTGAGCGCTCGCGCGTGTGGCGCACAAATCGAGGGAGGGGCGCGCGCGTCTGACACGCTGATTGGAGTTAGTGCGCGCGCGTTTGACGCGCAGATTGAGGAAGGGGCGCGCGTGTCGGACACGGTGACTGGGTGAGTGAACGCGCGTGACGGGCAAACCGAGGGTGGATTGGGCGCTATTTGAGGCAAAGGGAAAGAAACATATAGAGAGCGAATCACTCCAAATGACTAAAAATATACTAAGTAGAAATGATAAGTGCTTCTTCACGTCTTTCTTGTGCTTGTCCATACTTGAGTTGTTGATGATGTGTAGGGCACCCTTCATGTCTTTATGTCTGAAAAATATGATAGAGAATTTTGAAGTGTTTGAAGTGAGCACTTAGTAATTTTGTAGATTGATGTAATGTAGAGGGAGGGCCTACGTACCCAAGATGGAGATCGAGTAAGTCTCTCGCACGTCGAAATATGTAATCGATATGCTTGATTCACTATACTCGGATGCGTGCTCCTGCATGTCAAATTAGCTGGCAGTAATATTTTAGGCGAGATACGAAGTATGTGCTGAGATGATGTCAATTGGCAAATGTGGAATAACCCTTTGTGAGGGGATACATAACATTTTCCATCTTAGGGCAGTTGATTGGAGGGATATCCAACATCATAGTCGATCCTCAATCTGTAAAAAGAAGATGTAAAGAGGTTAGGGGATGGTGAGGTGGGTAATGTAAGTAGCCCCCCAATTAGGGTTAGGCGTTCACGCACCTCGTCATGGATTAGAAAGATCCCAAATGTCATTGACATCCTTGCTAGCCAAGGGGCGTGGAAGAACGCAAAGCCTGCAAGAGTGG